TATTTTAAATACCAGGGACTGGACCCAGGGCCTTTGTGCTGTGCTACATTCCCAGCCTTTTTTACTTCTTATTTTCAGACAGGGTCTCACCACACATTACTTAATTGCCCAGGCTGAGCTTGAACTTTCCATCCACCTACCTCAATCTCCCAGAGATGGGTGGGACTACAGGTGAGCACTACCACCCTAGCTTTAAATTAATTCTTAAAGTCCACAATTAAAATGTAATGGACATCTAGGCATGGTGGTGCACTCTGGGAGGCCGAGGCAGGAGGAATACAAGTGCCAGTACAGCATAGGATTCTAGCAACTTAGGAGACCCTGTCTCAAAATAAACAAGGCCTGGGGATGTAGCTCAATGCAAAGACCCTTGTTCTATTCCCCATACCACAAAAATAGACATATAAGAAGCTTTGTTGAAGAATAGTTTTAAAAATTCAAAAGGCCTATTTTCTGTAAAAATAAAACCAAAATTACATAAATGAGAGCATAAGTTAGAAAGATAAGCAAAGGATGCAAAAATCGGCAACCTAATACTATACTGAAAATTATTCAAATGAATTACACATTAGAGGAAGCTAAGCATCCAGTACTCTTTGTCTCTCAAATCTTTTAGTCTCTAAGTGAAAATTCCATCAAAAATAATTCTGACTTCTTTTTCAATTTTAACCCTTCAATGCCTAGTGATCCATTTTGGGAACATCTGTAACAATGGAATATAATGAAATGTGTTCTCTTTAAATTCTTGTCCCATGAATTTTTCTAGGTAACATGAATTTCATGCAAAAATTTTAAAATGTTCATTCTTCAGCATGAGTTAAAAATTGCTGTTACCTATCTTTAGCAAGGCACACAAACAGTTAAAGAACACCTGCGGGCACAGAGTAAAGATTCAGCAAGCTGATAAAAACCTCATTTTTGGCTATGATAACCCTTTTACCTCCCCTGTACTCAAAGGGATTGCTGAGCTGAACTTCACTTAGTGCACTTGCAGACTGTATTGTGTATTTGAACTGTACATGGGGGTTGGAGGGCAGCTCAAAATTATCTAGGACACCACGAAACCAGAAAGTAAAGGCTCTGAGTTTCTTCACCTCACCCAAATGAAAAATGTTATCCTTTTATAAAACTATAAAAAGATAAAAATAACTGAGACTAGATGAAAAGATTTAGTATCATTTAGATGTCAATACTGTACTATCTAGGGTAATCTATAGATTCAATGCTATTTTTATTAAAATCCAATGTTGTTTTCTGCAAAAAAAAAAAAAAAAGGAAAACTCATCCTAAAATTCATATGGAATCTCAAAGACCCTAAACAGCCAAAATAATCTTAGAAAAGAATAAAGTGTTTTCAAAACTTACTACAAAGCTACAATAATCAAAATAGTATGGCACTGGTATTAAAGCAAACACACAGACTAATGGGGCAGAACAGAAAGCCCAGCCTTATCCTTCTGCATATGATCAAGTGATTTCAGCAAGGTTGCCAAGGCCAATTATGGAGAAAGAACACTCTTTTCAACAAATGCCATTGGAAGAAATGAATAATCACATGCAATAATCACATGATCCTAAACAGCAAACAAAAATTAACTCAGAATTAAAGATCTAAATAAATGTAAGACCTAAAATGATAAAAGAAACAGAAAATGCTATGTAACTTTGGTTTGGCAATGCTAACATAGATATGCCATCAAATGCATAAGTCAACAAATTGGACGTCATCAAAGTTAAAAATGTTTGTACATCATACAACACTATCAACAGGTTAAAAGGCAACCTATGAAATGGGGAGAAAAAATTTAGAAATCCTATCTATTAATACCTGGAATCCATAAAGAACAACTCAACAAAATTCCCAATTCAAAAAATGAGCACAGGGCTTGGATAGACATGTCTCCAAAGATACAACACAAGTGTATCCAACAAGCACATGAAAAAATACTCAACATCACTAATCATTAGAAAAATGCAAATCAAAACCACAATGGACACCCCTTTATACCCATAAAGATGGCTATTTTTACAATGCAGAAAATAACAAATGTCACAGGAAATCTGGAGAAATTTGAACCTCATGAATTCTTGATGGAAATATAAAATAATACAGCTTCTGTGGAAAACAGTGGTGGTTCCTCACAAAGTTAAACACAGAATTACCATATGACCCAGCCGCTCCACTCCAAGCTATATACCCAAAATAACTGAAGACGTGGGGACTTGGATAACTATACACCAGTGTCCACAGCAGCCATTACTCATAATAGCCAAAAGGTGGTAACAATTTGAGTACCTATCAACAGATAAATGAGTTTTTAAAATGTGGCATATATACACAATGGAATAGTACTTGACCATGAGGAGGAATAAAGTTCTGATACATGCTACAAGTATGAATTAACCTCAGAAACATTACACTAAGTGCAAAGCAGAATACACCAGAAACAAAACATCAATATTTATGATTAAACTTACATATAGAATCCAGAAAGGAACATCCATAGACAGAAAATCAAAGAGGTTAGTAGGATAGGAAGAAAGGAGAACAGAGAGCTATTGCTTAGTGGTTTCAGAATTTCTGCTTCAAATGATGAAAAAACTTTGGAAATAAATAGTAATGATTGCTTACACAACACTTCTGATATATTTAATAGATGGGGCGATGATTACGTAGCACTGTAAATGCATTTAATACCAATGAATGGTACCTGGTGTGGCAAATATCTTAAATGTCCCACAAAAGCTCATGTATTAAGGCCTGGTCTCCAGCTGAAGGCATGATTGGGAACTGGTACAAGCTTTAGGAGGTAGGGCTAGAATGACGTCAGGTCTCTGAGGGTGCATCCTCCAAGGGGATACTGAAATCCACCCCCTCCTCCTGCCGGCAAACATGAGGTGAGTGGATCTGCTCCTCCACTGTACTCCCCACCATAATGTGCTGCCTCGCCACAAATCCAAAACAACCAAGCTAAATGACCACGAGCTGGAGGGCCTAAAAACATGAGCCAAAATAATTTTTTCCTCCTCATAAAATGTCTCAGGTATTCTGTCACAGTGCTAGAAAGCTGGCTAAAACACCACTAAATAATTAAAACTGTAAACATTTTATACAGATTTTACCACAATTTTAAAAATTAGCCAGCCTGAGTCACGCATGCCTGTAATCCCAGCTACTTGGGAGACTGAGACAGGAGTATCTTGAGTTCAAAGCCAGCCTGGGAAATTGGTAAGAAGTCATCTCAAAAAAAAAAGAATACGTAGATTTTTTTTTTTTCTGAGTCTTTTTATGGTGTAAAATATCCTTACATTATTTTCAAACATAATATATAGAATTCTTAATTCAAAATGTCTATCTCCTCAAAAATTATTTATTATAGGCATTTGACATGTTAGACACATCTCCTTATAAACATAGTTTGTGAGCTTTATTTTATGCTTTTATTTTATTTTATTCTGGCAATACTAGGATTGAGCCCAAGACGTCACACATGCTAGGTAAGCAATCTACCATTGAGCTACACCCCAGTCTGTTTCATTTCTTGATTGATGCTTGCATGTTTTGTATTTAATGTATAACAATTAAGCTACCAGATTTCTTAAATTAGTAACAGACAAAAATCCAGGTGTGATAGTGCTGGGAGGCTAAGGCAGGAAGATCACACGTTAGAACACCTTAGCAAGACCCTGTCTCAAAATAAAAAGTTTACAAAAGGCTGGGGATGTAGCTCCATGCAAAGTCCCTGGGTTCAATCCCCAGTATGTACCACAAAAACAAAAACAAAAATAAAAAACTATATGAAGTGATAAGAAATAAAAGTTCATTTAATTTTTTTTTTTTTTTTTTTTTTTTGGTACTGGGGATCGAATTCAGGTCCTTGTGCTTGCAAAGCAGGCGGTGGAACCACTGAGCTAAATCTCTGGCCCTAAAAGTTCATTTTAAAAGCCTTGGTTATAGTACAAACAAAATTATATATACCAAAGCCAGCTGTGTTGACATATGCCTGTAATCCCAGCACTTGGGAGGCTGAGGCAAGAGGATCACTGTGAGTTTGAGGACAGCCTGGGGTACACAGTGAGTTCAAAGCCAGCCTGAACTATACTGTGAAACCCAGTCACTGAAAAAAAAAAAAAAAATCAGTATTTAAATACTAATCCAATATGTTAAAAATGTAATTTCATTAAAAGTATCAACATAGAAACGTAAACCACTAAAGTAGAGAGGTACTTGGGTCAAGGCTACGTAGGATAACCAAGTTAGCACAAAGTATTATAAAGAGTATTAAAACCAAGGGCCAGGGATTTAGCTCAGTGGTTTTGCCGCTTGCCCTGCAAGCACAAGGACTTGAGTTCAATCCCCGGTACCAAAAAAAAGAATATTAAAACCAAAAGAGACCAGAGCCATTATTTAATCTAATTCTTGCTGCTATAGAAGAAATAAAATGTAAAATAATATGCTTCTAGAGTTACCTCTGGAGTTATTCAACCAAGGCATTTTACCTGACAACTATGAGCTCAGAAAAAATGCAGCATATGTCCAAGCTATTACAAGTAAGTAAGTATCTTTTTATATTTAAAGATTCCTTAAAATTAAATTAGAAAAAAAAACCCTAAAAATTAGATGTAAGGGTAGTAAAGAAAGACCTAGATGCCAGTAGAATTCAGCCAGTAACAAACAACCTTTAAGATCAGACTGAGTTTATTTTTCTAGTGCTAAATAAATTTTTAGAAAGAAGAAACGGTTTCCTATTGGAGTCACACGTAATGAGCTAAAACATGTCCTAGGGCCAGGGATTTAGCTCACTGGTGCCACCGCCTGCTTCGCAAGTGCAAGGTCCTGAGTTTGATTCCCAGTTCCAAAAAAATAAAAAATAAAAAAACATGTCCTATTTTTATCTTGCAATCTGTAAATAAAGTCATTACTCTGGTCTCATGGAATATATGTTTCATACAAGGCCAGCTCTCCAGCCCACAAATGCTTGACAGTATTCTGCACTTGCCTGTAGTAGCGTGACTGTAGGTAGGTTGAGCACACAGCTTTGGAAACATGACTGGCAGAACCGAAGTCGATGACTTTGACGCGGTAGGGCTGGCGCACGGGATCCACCAGCATGATGTTTTCAGGCTTAAGGTCAGCGTGGATCAGACCCAGGCTCTTAAGCTTCATCAGAGCTGTGGCTACCTGCTGTAAGATTGGTCTGATATACTTGAGTGGCAGTGGGCTAAACTTATTCTGCTTCAGGAAATCATACAAGTTCTGCTCCAACATCTCAAACACAAGGCAGGTGTGATTCTTATGCTGAAAGCACTCGTAAGAACGGACAAAATTGTACTCATCAGCATTTTCACTGCTCAGGCGGGACAAGATGCTCACTTCAATTTGGCCTTGCCTGGCGTACGACGGGTGGTTCTTCAAGATTTTAATAGCCACAATTTCCTTGGTGCTCCGCTTCCAGCACTTCGCCACCTGCCCAAATGTCCCCCGGCCTAGGAACTCCAGGACTTCATAGCTGTTGGTCATAGAACAAAGGATCTCATGCTGGACCAGCTGGTAATCCCCTTCTCCACTAGAACTGCTACTCTTTGTGGTCACAGTGGTGGTCGTGGCAGCAGCACCCACCACAGTCCTGTTTTGCAGCATGAGAGGGGGATGTTCTTCTATGATCTGCACACTACCGTTGCTGTCAACTTCTTCACTTTTTCTTTTCAATCCACATTTTTGATATGGCTCAAGCAAAGAAACGTTGCTTCTGTGAGTCAGGGTCTGGCTGCTCTGGAAGGTTGATGTAGCAGCACTACCTGAGCTATCTGCGGCTGTTACAACAATGTGCTCCACCGCAGGAGCTGGGAGAAGGAGACCCTGGTCGTAAGCAGGAATACTGAAATTTGCTACCTGGTGAGAGGAGTTGGCTTGCCCTTGCGTGGCTGGGAGGGTTTTGCTGTGGGTGTAGTATTTGTCGTTGTTGCTCTGTCCTGAAACATCCCAGCCAGAGGGCTCTATTTTCAGTTTCTTTGCACTGCAGAAGGCACTCGATGACACCGATGGGGGGGAAAACACCTGCAGCTGTGATGCCATACCTACAGAAACAAAAAGAAGAATGAGGCCATGAGGTTAAGACACGCACAGCTTAGCAATGGCATGTATGAAAACACTTGTCAGTGATAAAAGAAACGTGATATAATAATATTGCCCTCATTTCAAAAGTTTATTCAGCCTTGGAGCAGGGTGTGGTGGTGCATGCCTGTAATCCCAGCACTCGGGAGGCTGAGGCAGGAGGATCACTGTGAGTTCGGGACTACCCTGGGCGACATAGTGAGTTCCAGGTCAGTCTCAACTACATAGTGAGACCCTGTCTCAAAAATAACCAAAAAGAAAAGTTTATTCAGCCTTAACCTACATTCACAGAAATACCATCCAGAAGAAAGTATAGTAGTGTTCAGCTTTGTCTACTACGTTTGAGGAGGATCACTGATAACTGACCAGAAAAAAATAACCAGGTTGATGATAATAAGGCTACAGTATCTTCTGAAGAAATGAAAAACAGAAAAAAGAAATGAAGCCATTCTTGGGAAAATATGGAAAAAAAGTGGTAATAGTACAGCTGTCCTCAATATCCCCAGCACCTCAAGCTCAGTAAGAGCAAAGAATAAATCTACAGACTGTTTTCCAGGATAAAGTCAAACATTTGACATAGCATTCAAGACATTACATATTCATCTATTCCATTCTCAACCATCCGGCCTTCAGAAGCCTTGGGACTCCTCTTGTCTTGCTCCGTACCTTTCCACCTTTTCAATAATTACTACCCAAGATTAGTCATTTACAAAAGGCTCTATATTTCCTATCTCTAATTCAGACCCCTCTCTCTTGAACACCAAACAACATATGCCAATGCCCACTTGGGTAGCTTAGATGTAACTGTAACTCAGCATGCCCAAGGTTAAAGCCTCCAGTTTTCTACCTCAATTACATGATGGCACCATACCCAACACTCCAACCAAAAAAATAAAGGAGGCAAAAAGCCTCAGTTTCCTCATTCATATAATAGTACTAGTAATACTGACCTCATGGAGTTGCTGAGAATTAAATATCCTAATACATGTAAAATGGTAGTGCCTGGCACACAAATAATATTACCATCACATTCATTTTTCTCCTAATTCCTCCACATCAGATCTCATCTCATCAAATTTATCTCCGAATCATATTTCAAAGCAGCCATTTTCCTCTACCCTTACTGACACTATTCTAGCTCAAAATGCCAAGGGCCTCCAAATTAACTGCCTTACATGCACTCAGAGGATCTTTTCTTTTAAACAATGCAAATCAGACAACTGATCTCTATTCTTAACCACCTTTCTCCTCCTTCCCTCAGGGTTTTCCACTGCTTTGGGCATAAAGATTAAAATCTTCAACTTGCTTTAACAGCTCTCCAAAGCCTGTCTTCCAGCACTCCCCACCTTGGCTCCTTCATTTCAGCCACACTGCCTTCTTACAAGACCACTCCATATTGTCTCAACTCCAGGCCCTCTAATGTATTCAAAACTTCACTGGGAATACTGTTCCCTGACACCTCTGCCACACAAACACTTCCTCCAGTCACCTGTCCCCACCTTGCATTTCCAGAGCACCCTCTTTTTCCATTAAAAAATGGAAACTGTTTACTTACTGCTATGCTCCCAGCCTCAGTCTAAATTCCATAAGGACAGATCTGTTTTGTTCTTTGTGTCATTACAGCCTACCACAAACTCTACTAATACAGACATTAAGTGTCTATTGAGCCGGGTGTGGTGGCACACACCTGTAATCTCAGCACTCCGGAGGCTGAGGCAGGAGGATTGCTGTGAGTTTGAGACCAGCCTGGGCTACATAGTGAGTTCCAGGTCAGTCTCAACTACATAGTGAGACTCTGTCTCAAAAAACCAAATAAATAAATAAAATAAAATAAAATAAAGGACTAGAGATTTAGCTCAGTGGTGCTATGCCTGCCCCACAAGCATGAGGTCCTGAGTTTAATCCCCAGTACCACACACACAAAAAAAATTACCTATTAAAATATATGTAATGGTATTTCTTGTCATCATAAAATTTAGCCAAATTAAGCAAGCAAAGGAAATAAATCCTCCAAATGTGTTTTCCATTTTATCTGTTGAGCTGCTAATTTTAACAATCAAAAAATAAATACAGGGCTGCGGGTGTAGCTCAGTGGTGCTGCCACCTGCCTCACAAGCGCAAGGACCAGAGTTTGATACCCAGTACCAATAAATAAATAAATAAATACAACCTCCATGTAACTGTAAGTATTTAATGAAATAATTTGAAAACAAAGTTTGCAGTAACTGCAGGAAGAGGGCATCATAAAGTAATATACTGAAAAGAATTCATAAAATGTAATACCAAATTTTTAAAGTTTTTTTCATAAAAAATAAATGCTGGCAAGGATGTGAAGAAAAATGAAACCATTCTACACTGCCAGTCAGGGTGTAAATTAATTAGTACATCCACTATGGAAAATAGTATGGAGATTCCTTAAAAAAACTAAAAAACAGAACTACCAGATCTAGCTATACCACTCCTGGGTATACCTGAAAATGATGCCAGCATATTGAAGTCAGTTACTGAACACTCATGCAGCAATTCATAATTACCCAGACATGGAACGAGCCTAGTGCCCATTAACAAATGACTTGATTGGGCCAGGGATGTAGCTCAGTGGTACAGTGCCTGCCTGGTAAGCATGCGGTCCTGAGTTTGATCTCAGTTACCAAAAACAAACAAATAAATGAATGGATAAAGAAAATGTAGTGAATACACTATACAATGTAGTATCATTCGGTCCCAAGAAAAAAATCATGTCATTTGCAGAAAAATGCATGGAAATACAGGTTATAAAATTAAGGGAAGAAATACAAATACTGTATTGCCATGTTTTCTCTCATATGCAGAAACTAAAAAATAGAAATCTAAAATTTAAAAAAAATTTTTTTAATTTTAAAAAAATCTTAAAAAGACCTGAAAGTAGGAGAGTGACTAATGGCGGGAGTGGCAAGGGAGAAAGATTATTTTTTCCTTGGTACCCGGAATCAAACGAAGGACCTTGTGCTTGCAAGGTAGGCGTGGTGCCACTGAGCTAAATTCCCAGCCCAGAAAATTTGAATAAACCAAGATATATGCCTGTAATAATCTGCACAATTAATGAGTTAATAATTATAATAAAAATATGAGGGCTAGGTATGGTCTCACATGCCTGTAATCCAGCACTCAGGAGGCTGAGGTAGGAAGATCAGCACAAGCTCAAGGCCAACCTGGGCTACATAGTGAGGCTGTCTCAAAAAATAATAATAGAGTTAAAAATTTTAAACAAAAATAAATAATCCCATGACTACAGTATTCAATATGTATTGCAAACTTACTAATAACATTTTTGTGCATGAAAAATAAAAACATGTTCACAGCTAAATATTTGAAAATACTGCATTTATGAGAGTAAAGTTATTGCCAACTTTTTACCAATAAACAAAATAACAGACATTGATGATTTCAAATCTTGGAGAGTGAAGAAAGCACAAATTCTAAGCTTATTTTCTATGTAAGCAGAATATAACTCTTATTCAGAAAGACAAACTTAATCCACTCAAGAAGAAAAAGAACAACCAGAGTCTTACTGGCTCAGCCCACAGGGAGAGTGTGCTACATGGAAGTCAGTACACATCTCATCACCAGGACCATTACAGTGTGGCTGAAAACAGAATCAAATGGCCTTTTAAAAAACAACACTCTTTATTTATATTTTACTCTGAAATTAAGCTAAAAACAGTAATTTCTACACACGATAAAGATACTATATTCCTGGGCTGGGGATTTAACTCAGTGGCTCTAACACCTGCTTCACAAGCACAAGTTCATCCCGATTAAAAAAAAAAAAAAGTACTATATTCCAAAAATTTACCTTCACAAATAAGGAGGCAATTCTCTGGCTTGCCAAAACCCCCTCCCCAAGAGAACAGAATTAAGATCTGTGTTTAATTTTTACTACATAAGACTGTTAAGCAAATTACAAATGTTTTCATCTCATATGAGAATCAATCCCAATAAACTGTTACTTCTGACTTCCTGAAAATATTGTACCTCTTTGTTCTAGCAACGAACAAAGTGTTTTTCACTTCAAATCCTACTTTCCAAGACTATAACCACCTTGATATAATGATGTTTGTTCACTGCATTAATCCCAAACTAGTAGGTAAAAAGCTATTGGTAGTCATACTTACTGCTAAAAAGAAAACTGAATCACATTAGAATTCAAGGTCACATATTTTAACATCACCTGCTGGGTCCCACAGTATAAGTACTATAAGCTGGTTGATAATCTTATTACAAATTCAAATATTATAACCCTGCATGGAATGATTGTGACAACCAAGTTATCACTCCTCAGTGTTTCGTCCCCAATCCTCATTGACCTCCATCTTTTCCTCAGAATACCTATAATAAATTCCTGCTGCTAGTATTCAGTGTCACTTTTGTGTCTTTGACATAATTTAACAATTGGTGGCCTAAACAACCAAAATCACTAGTATATATTGATCTTCCCCTGGTACTTATCATTGGCTGAGACATACACAGATGTATGTATTCCGCAACACACCGATATATAGTATAGTCAGAAGGCAGGTAAGAAAGAGTATAAGCTTTGTAAAAGTAAAACAATTCGGGAAGAAAATTATTTTACCATAACAACTAGACATCTTTCTAGACTCAGTTTTCTCCACTACAACTGAACAATTCTGTACTATTTATTCAAGCAAACCAACTGGTCTCTCTTTATTGAACTCATTTCCTTTCTAACTCTCTCTCTGACTCCTTCTTTACCTTTTCTTTTTGGTTTTTTGAGACAGGGTCTCACTATGTAGTTCAGAATGACCTGGATCTCACTATGAAGCCCAGGTTGGTCTTGAATTCAGTGATCCATCCTCCTGCCTCTGCCTCCCGAGTGCTGGAATTACAGGAGTGCACCACCACATCCAGCTCCTTCTTTACCTTAAAATGGAAGCATTTTGAAAAAGCACATTTGGAAAAA